CCTTCATGTGTCCTAATTTATGGTATAATCTACAAAAAATGGTATGGCTCTATCTAAGATTGGTTTTTTAAGGTTCATTATATATAGGGTTTGGTATTTAACAAAGGCTAAAAAGGCTCCCAAATTGATTCTCACGTTATCCACTTTGAACTAGTAAGGTCTCTAATCCTCATCCATATGGGTTGCTGATGGAAATGATTCAACTTGAGTGAAAGTATTTTGCTAGCCTAATCGAATGTGTTATAACCTCATAAAAGCGTAGTTACTCTACTCCCTCCAAAAAGAGATAGATTTGGGAGCTTGGTTATAGAGATCATGTAGAGATGCAAGTGTATACATGTGTGAGGGAACGTAATAATTATTAATCAAAATAAAATCAACAATATAATTAGCAATAATATAAAACAAGTAAATTGATATAACAAAGCTAAATGAAACCATCAAAATTTTACTTTTTTTAATTATTTTAAATATTATTTTTAATTTTATACTAAAATGAGATAAGGAATTAAAATCAAATATCGAAAAGACCATAGAATTAAAGTCTGGATGACACATGCTTAACTTTTGGCTTGACTATCTAGCGTTCTCAATGGAGTTATCAAACTATCATGATGATTTTTCATCTAAGGGGACTCGAATGCTAAACTTGAAAATTTTCAGAGTCGTCACCAATTTTTTTTGTAAGGTGTGATTGGCCAACAAAAAAATCATCTTTTAATAAAAATTTTAAAATTAATTAAGATTTACTAAAAGACACTTAGGTCTGCAAAATCAGGATTAGGTCTAGGAATATGGTTACGAGTAAAAAATGTATTAGCTCTCTCATATCCCCCGGTTCAAATAATAGTACCAATTAAACATTGTTATCTTTTAATTTTAATGATATGGTCTTCTTTATATTTAAAATTAATTTCCTAAAATTTATTTATGAAAAATATTTTTTTGTTATGAAATTATTATTATTATTATTTTTAACGTTTTAGTGAAATTTATAGAAACCTTTATTAAAAAAAAATTTAGAAAAATTGAACATTTATAAAATTCTCGAAATTTTATCATAGGATTTTTTTTTATTAAAATTGATTTTAAGATTATCTTGATTCTTTGACAAAATCCAAAAATTATTTCTTAAACTAGTTTTAGGATTGTCCAGACTCTTTAGTGAAATCCTAAAAATTTTAAGCTAATTTAGGATCATCCAAACTTTTTGATGAGATCCTAAAAAAAAAAAAAATCCTTTCTCTTGGTGATAATGAAGAAAAATTAGAAATTTCAATTTTCCTTAAAATTTTTACTTAAGAGATTTAATTAAACATTTAATTAATTTTTATTGTTATTTTTATTGCTATTTTTTATTTTCTATTATTATTTTCTATTTATTATTTTCATCTTTTTCTTATTATTTAAATAAATTTTTATTTAGTAAAAATATTTTTTTCGATTATCCCAAATTTTTGGTGAAATTCAAAAATAGATTTTTGGTAATAATTAAGAGATTTATTTAAAGAAACACTTTTATTTATTTATTTATATTGTTATTTAAACAAATATTATTTAGTGAAAATAACTTTTTGGATTATTCCAACTTTTTGGTGAAATCCAAAAATATTTTTTTTAATAATTAAGAAATTTATTTAAAGAAACACTTTTATTTTTATTTATTTTTATTATTCATTTTTTATTGAATCAAAATTTTATTTTAGTAAAAAAATAAATTTTAAATTATTTCAACTCATCGACGAAATCTAAAAATATTTTTTATTTGCATTAATTAAAGAAAATTGAATTCTTTCAATTTTATTTAAAGATTGCATTTTTAAAAGATTTATTCAAATAAGTAATTATTATTGTTATTTTATATTTTTAATAATAAAAGTAATTTCTTGAATCATCCTAACACTTTATTGAAATTCAATAAATAGGCTTTTTTTGAATTTTTTTATTTTTTCCTCAGTTTTTTTCTCTCTAAAAAACCAGAGCTCCTTTCCCTACAAAATCCTTTCCTCCATTGGCTGTCGTGAAACCCAAATTTCGACTGGTTGTCATTGTGTATCGGTAGCTGGAATCTTCAATGGTGTTGAAATTTCAAGAAATCTTAATTTTCGATCGATTTTTCAGTTTTTGGTAGCCAAAAAATTCAATTGATCGTTGAAAAAATTCAAGTTTTTTCAGATTTCGACGACCTAATAAAATTCAAAAATCCCCAAAAAAAATTTCAAATTACTCATTTTTATTTTGTAGAAACTTTTTTCAAACTAGATTTAAAAAAAAAAACCTCAAACCTTTTATATCAAAGTTTCCAGTTTCGACTAATTTTTTTTTTGTTTCGTTTTTTTTTTTGCTTGCAGGAATTGGTTGTATTTATAAAGCTAATTAAAAGATCAAAATCTTATATTTTTTTTGAGATTTTTGTGGACTTTTTTGAGGTTCTTTTGTGAAATAATTTGAAGATTTGTTCGGTGACTTTTGCTCATTAGATTTTATGCTATAAAAATTAGGTAGTATAAAAGATTTTTAGTGCTTTAAATGCACTGAAACTTTAAAAAATGATGAAGAAAAAAAGAAAAAAAAAAGGTGTAAGAAGAACTAAGATGATAATAATAATAATAATAATAATAATAATAATAATAATAATATTTAAATTAAAAAGAGATTGAATTCCATAATTATAAATTGATATAACCCTTAAGGATATAATATGCACCTCGTCTTATGCACGTAAAACAGTATGCAATATGGTTGTATCAAGAATATGCAATTGAATTCCGTGGTTAAAAAACAATACATGTTTTATTCATAAAATAATAAGGATTACCTCCATACAATTTGTCAATTAAAAAATCCAAAGTCTAAGTTAATAATGACCACAAATTTTTTAGTATAATTTTTGAAATCCTCTTGCGTCCATAAGTCCATTATTAGCGCTTTTTTCCTCCCCAATTTCAAGGCTTAGTCATTCATATACGCAATTACAATCTCAACGTCCGATTGGACTTTCAACTCCCACATGTATATTTCAAGATAAGCACCACCAAAATTTATTTTATTCCAACATTTGCTTAATATTTCCTTAACCTCTCTTGTAAGAAATAGATGAGTTCTTAACATTACAACCTTGAATGACAAGGATTGCCAACAAGTCCCAAATTAATCTATCTATGTTGTAAGGTTTAATCATTCATTTTACGTGTAGATATAAAAGAATAACTAATCAAGAAATTTTAATATGTATAAGATATGTTACACACACACACACGCATGAATCTATCTTCTACAGTTGACATATGTTAAATATGACACAGGATTCATGGAAAACGACATGACAATAAGATTAACTAGAATGAAAAAAAGAACAAAATTTCCTCTAATTTTTCTAACAAAAACCAAGATTGAGTGCTGATGATTCCTTTAAGATTGGGATTCAATCCCCAATGCTTGCAATTCTCCTTCTTCACCCCTTAGGCTCAGTCTCTCTTTGTGAAAAAAAAAAGGGTTGATTTAGTTAACAGTATTGAAGAAATTGATTCCTTTCAGTTATGAGTAACAGATAAAGATGATTTCCCACTTTGTTCAACAAAAGTGAAAGGAAGGAACCAAATATGAAGTGATAGGAAGGGTCCCCAAAAAAATCTCAATCAGAGTCTATTCGCTACTAAACTTTTAGATTCTTGATAAGATACGAAGCTTTTACTCATTGATCTCACCCCTTGTATAGTTCCTTTCATATTGGTCTTCAACTCTCCCCTTATCAAATTAAATTAAGTTGAGCTGTGCAATAGATTACAGATAGTAATTTAAAGGGTTCTGATTTTTAAATTAAAAAAAAAAAACTTAAAAATAAAATAAACAAATATAGGGGTTGAAGCAAAAGAAGCGGCATATTTGGGTATATAAACTTTTGGAAATGAAGATACAGCAACAAATATGGGAACTATATGCTTTCCTTTTCCTCTATTTTTTCTGGTTTTGGGAGGGAGACATATGCCAAATATATTGTTCCTTGGACACCTTAAGCTGGGGCAAACATTCCCCATCTCCTTCCGCAAGATTTAATTATTTGCAGTTTTGTGCTTTAATTTATTTGATATAAACATGTGAAATTAGTATACATATTAATTATCAGATCTACTTGTATATCTACCTTAAGTTAGTTTGGTTGCACTGTCTTTGGCTGTTTTCTTTTCTTTCCACGTGCGTTTTGTTTCTCTCTCTCTCTTATCTTCTCTCCCTTTTACCTTTTCTTCGTAGGAGGGACGAGGGAGAGGGAGGGAGAGGGAGAGGGCGGAGGGCGGTGCAGTTGGGTAGCCCAAAAGTCAAAACTTTTAACTACAATAGGAAAGAGCCTAAGGATAAGATGCAGTGAATGTCAAATGTCTGATTACATTTTTTCTTTGAAAAAGAAAACGTTGGCAAATTCTTTTTTTTTTTTTATATATATATAATTTTATATTCTTTTTAATAATTCATTCTATCTTTTGATAGTAAATTTATAACGGATCAAAAGTAGATGTTTGATTTAAAATATTAAATCTGTGCCAAATCAAAATTGGATGTTTAATTTTATAAGGAGTAAGAACTAAATATTTTAAAATAAAAAATCTTATAAAAGTATATTTTAAACTAGAATGATTTAAGAGTCTTGACGCAATTACTAAAGAAGTTCACATGGTCCTTGGAGTTCTATTAAAAATGTTAGCTAAAATGAAAAGGCTTTTTTTTTTTTAATGCATAAAAGCAAATACCTAATTCTCTTTTTGAGCGATTCTAAATACACATTATTTTATATTAATTTGACGCATTCAAATTTTGCTTATTTCAAAAGATTGAATCTAACTGATAAGACTCAATTTTTTTTAAATGATCATTTGCGTTCATCAGTTTAATTTTCTTAGTTGAGTTTTGTCTAATCAGAGATACCCTAGCAACGTAAAAATATCCTAACCGGTAGATGAAACAAGCACGTATCACTACTGGTACAAATGTTGGAAATCGAATGGTGGTAAGAAAATCAAAGGACAATCCTTTTATCGGACAATGGAAACACCTTACATCATAGACATAGAGAGTAGGGAAAGAAGAACAAGTAGGTCTTCCCATGGTGGACCCACAAATCTCCAACCACCGTGGCAAATACGTTGGAAAAGAAACGCAATACAAGTTGAACAAATTAAACAAACAGACCCCTAAAGTAAGACACGGTCCGTGCATGGAAACATACATACAGGACCTTAAGGACTCACATCTCTGATCTCTCTGTCCTAACGGTATTTCAGCCCATCAGCAAGTAGGTCACCAATAAGGAACTGACACGCAAGCACCTTTTTATTTACCGTATTATATTGCCCTACCTAAGGCTGCACCTGATCACAGAGAGAGAGCTTTGAAATGACTAAAGTGCCAGGACAAGACCCGGCACAGACTTTCCAAGCCTGTTGGACAAGCTGCTCTCCCACACGGAAGGGCAATGCACAGCCGTTGACGACGAAGCAGACGACGATGGGGATGATGACTTGTAGTCGGACGGTGGGGATCGGGTGGAGTTTCCAAGGCGAGTAACAGTTAGAGAAGTGTTGAAGTACTCCCTCACTTGGGTAATTATCCCATCCGTAACAGTCCAGGCTTGAACCCAAGAGATTGAACGGTTATGATCACAGCCTTCAACGATAACGGTGGACCCAAAGGTGGTAAAAGAAAGAGGCTCAAAATGGAAAGAGTCGTCTGATGAAGCTCCAGTGAGCAGGCGCATCATAAACTGGTGAGTTGGGGGGCCATGGAACCACCACTCAAGGTCAGGAGCAAGGATTTCGTGAACGGTTTCAACGTCTCGAGTTTTTAAGGCCTCATAGAGGGCATGAACGACCTCTTGGTTCTTGTTGGTTTCCTCCAGAATTTTTTCCTGAGTGTTAGCCAGATCTTAAAAGAGAACACCTAGAAAACAAGAAAGCAAAGAAAGATTTGGGTTTAACAAGAATGCAAAGAACGAATTTTGTTTTGTAGAGATTTATAGAGAAGGGAAAGGAGAGGGAAAAACCAGCAAGAACCGGCAAGGGTCTCAAGCAAGGAAGGATGAAACGGGATTTATATAGAAAAAGTCATCAACTTGGCTTTGATTCTCTACATCCATTTCTTTGTCTTATAATCTACGCTAAGGCAATACTAATAGAAGGGTTAACGCAAAGGTCCAGGGTTTTTAATAATTCTGATAAAATCGTAGGGGTATTTGGGACTGAAAAATGGAAAAAATGAAGTATATGTTACGTGGCAGGATTATAGTGGTTATATGGATAGAGTGGGGCCAACGATAATGAATAATCAGTTTCTTTCCTATGCGGTAGGCGGGGTTGAGGACAGGTGAGAAGTCAGGAATTTCTGGTCAAGCAAACTCTTTTTGACCCTAATTAAATTGCTTAATTTCCTAATAATCCGTCGTTAAATTATGGATTTGGGCTAATAAAAGGAAGTTTGTTCTGATCTCTTTACGCTACCAACTTTGGGGTGATAAGCAGGTTCCATGCTAAGGAATATGTTGGCGTTTTCATTTGCTAGTGATATGTCACTGGTTATGTCGGTTTCTTTTTTCCTGTTTCATCCTTTTGGGTTTGGAATTTATTGTTCCTTCTTCTTCGTCTTATATGACAGCGAAATTCTTTTGCTGAAATATAAAAAAAATTGTTACGTTTTTTGGACCGAAATTTGAGTTTAAGAAAACGAAAGAGATTTAAGATACGCATGGGCTATTTTAGGCGAAATAAATCAAGAGAATGTTTGCAACTTAAAAATTAATTAATAAATCACCTGTTAAATATGATTACAAAAATTAATTAAGTTAAATTTTATATTTAATAAATCAATAGATTTTAATATCATGATAAATTAATCTCCTTTTTCATTGTGTTAAACTTGTATAACCTCTAAAAAAAAAAAGAAAAGGGCTAAAGATTAAAGAAACCTCCTAAATATGAAGATATTTAAAGGTTGTGCTATGGTAGATCAAAGTTTATAGCAGATCAGAGCAAGCAAAATGCCAAAGAATGATTAAATTATCTCACTTAAAAGCATAGCATTGCCTTTTCTTGCATCTCAAGGATCGGTGAAATAACTTGCAACATAGAGAAGTTTCTTTCATTTCACATCAACTGAGTTTTCATAACGATTCAACCAGTTATGTTTTTTGTTTCCTTTGATAGGATGGTTTTGGTTTTTGACAATGAATTGAAGAAGATCAGCTTTTCTCTTAACCATTTGTAACATTGGTTTCTCGACAGATCATAAAAGATTTTATAGTCATGTTTGCAATTTATTTTCATTTATTAGCCCCTGTTGAAAATAGACAATTTTCTTGCTTTGAAATAAACAGCATACCCGGAAAAGGGGCTTGCAAGTAAACATCAGTTACCATTCAATGCCCTTGTCCAATGTAGATTATTAGATATATATTTTCAAAATAAGTGTGGCAAGCAATCCTTCGTTAGAAAGGAAAAAAAGAGTAGGGGAAAGTTTGGTGTGGAAAAGAGTGTACATTTGGAGTACTATGATCTTGAACTTTCAATTTTTAGATGGTCTTGAGTTAATTAAATAATTAATAATATTTATTTAATGATATATGTTATTTATTAATATATATTATTTAAATAAATAATTAAATAATATATTATTATTTTATTTCAAGTTTAATTTTTGAATTAAACGGAAGTTAATTAATTTTTATGTTTAGATAATTATGTTTGTTAATTTAAAACAGATAATTTTATTTGGACGGACAGTTATTTGCAAAATGACATTTCATTGTTATTATAAAAACTTAAAAATCAAAATTAATTTATGTGAACTTTCTTTATTTCTCCAAATAATTATAAGATTTTTTTTTTATAATATTTTGTTGTAAAATTTTTTTATAGAAATCTGATAATTAATCTTATAGGTGGGTGAATGTTCAATGTATTAATTTCTTTTCTTCAATAAACATCACAATTAATCACTAAATTCCATAATATCCTCTATATTTGTATTTGCAACTCTTTTACATATCTACTCTACTAAGTAAATAATGCAACAAAAATAATTAAAATCTCAAAGAAAATGGCATCGTTACGCCTTATACATTTCCTTAAATTTCTTGATTTTTCCATACATTTTTTCGGAAGTCACATCTAGAAATCAACATTAGGCCCCAGTCCTAGGCGGACGAGGACAAAGAGAGCTTGTCTTGTACAATAAAGAGCAATGGAGAGTAAAATTGGCCGTGGTAAATAATAGTTGAAGCTGGTTTGCATCCTCATTTATCATCTATCATTTATCATTATTTTACAAAAAGGGTCCTCCTATTGGAAATACATATTTAAATCCTATAAGGGATTTATTTGAAATTAGTTACATATTACTTGATGAATAAAAAAAATTACAAAAAAAAAAATTTAAGAGTAAAGAGATTTTTAATAGGTAAATTTGACTTGCGAAAAAAGAATTCTAAGAGAAAAAAGATTCTTAATAAGTAAGTTTGTATGGTTATAAATATGTGAAATTTTTATAAAGTTAGGTATGAGAAAAAGATGTAACAGAATTATAGGGTTTTATGGGTATACACCTAAAAGACTACTGAAGATTTACATCTTATGAGTGTATATGTTTGTTTGTGAGTGAATTAGAAGAAAGTGAGAGGATTCATATAGATATGATGTATGGGTGCATATAGGTATATGTTTGGTTGTATTGAAAAGGGTGTACATAGGTATGTGTTTGTTAGGTTGAGAATACTCTATAAGATTAAAAGAGATTGAGAGGGTCTATGAGTATTGATTGTTGAGTGGTTGATATGTTTTGAAGTATGTTTGTAATTTTTTACAACTAGTGGATTTTATTTCTCATCTGTGGATATAGATCAATTAGATCAAACTACGTTAAATTATTATCTCTTATATGATTGATTGATTGTTTGATTTTGCTTCCACTGACTTGATTAGATTATGGCTTTTTAGCTTAACAAGTGGTATAGAGTTGTAGGGTTTTATGGATAGACACCTATAAGATTACTGAAGAATTACATCTTATGAGTGTGTATGTTTATTTGTGAGTAGATTAGAGGAGACTGAGAGAATCCACATAGATATGATGTATGAGTGTATATATATATGTGTTTGATTGTGTTAAAAAGTACACATGAGTATGTGTTTGTTTGGATTAAAAATACTCTATAGGACTAAAAGATATTAAAAGGGTCTATAAGTATTGATTATTGAGTGATTGATATGTTTTGATGTATATTTATAATTTTTTATAATTAGTAGATCTTATTTTTCATCCGTAAATATATGTTAGTTAAATCAAATTACGTTAAATTATTATCTTTTGTATGATTGATTATTTAATTTTACTTCAACTAACTTGATTGGATTGAGACATTTTAACCTAACATCTCCTGTGCCTTATGATCAAGATCCAACTTCTCTCGTAGTCCACAAATTATCTAAGTTTCGAAATGGTCCTTGGTTGTCCCTACTCCAATCATATTCACAGAAATAGGATTAAGGCTGAAAACTTGGAAAGTACAGGCCATTCTCCAAGCAGCTTGCCAAACTAGCTAGCATGGAAAGATAGTAATGTTTTTGTAAGCTAGAGAAATTAAAGTGACAGGAACCCAAATTGAGCACATGGAAGTGGATTAAGATATTAATTTGTCAATTTCCTTTTGAACTGTTACAAAAAAAAAAAAAAAAGAAGATAGAACCTAAATGGAAGTGACCAGCGTGAGACAAACGGTTCTACTTTGATATATTAGGAGGGATACCTCCTTTGGAAATCAAATCAGTGAGGTCTTGCCTGTAATGAATCATGTTTATAGAATTGATGTCAGTTGAAGTTGTGTTTTTGAGTTGGTAAAGTGGTTAGTTTTGGTTAAAATCAATCCCGTACCTCTCAACTGCTTTAGATTTTTTTTTTTCACTTGATTTGATAGAGGTGTGATGTTTAGGGGAATCCTAAGGATTGCCAAGAAATTGACTTTCAGTGGGTACCCAAAACTACCTAAATTAGTTACACTGCCCCATCTATTGTATTTTTATCAGTACCCAATTGGTGAAAATATGTCAAACTATAAAGAGTTAAACCACTGAATGAACAGTACCTTCCTATCACGTGTTTGAGAAAAGAGTTAGGCAGAAAACTATTAAACCATCTTTCCAAAATGGAAGTTAATTTCACCTGAGTAGTTGAATCACTTTGTCCATAGTTTATTGAATCCCCCTTTGTTTATTGGCAAATTATTAATGCCTTGTATCCTAATATGGTTTTAAAAAATATTAATCTACGTTTGAAGCTTTTTGGATGAGCTGATCCCCATTCATTAATCTATTGAAAACTATAAGTTTGTGATAAATTTTCCTCTTTTTCCACTTGATAAATTGGAACAGTTTTCAACCATTAATAATTACAATTAACCACTTGTCTCCTTTTCAATTAGTGGTATTTTTTCAACCACTGAATATTGAAATCGAAAAAATCGAAAAAATAGATGAACTATTGAATCAACTTAAGCTTTTGGAATGATCTTAACAAAATAATCTCCACAGTAAAGATGCCTAGCGGGGAGCCCTGAGAGTCTTTGCTTTGTTTTTTCTTGTACAGGTTTCCATGCTCATCTTCTACACCCATCATCACCAACCCATAAACTTTTAACTCTGATGCTAGAATGTTCATCAGTCTATATTGTCAAATTGTGCCACCTATCATACTACTTCTCCATCTCCACCGTCCATTCTTGCACAAACCCTTTGTAGAATGTCGCTTTCCTCTGAAAGACAAGGCAGAAAGAGCCGAAAGGTGAAATTGCAAATGACTTAGAACCTAAATTTTCTCTCTAATCAAGGAACAGGTTAATATATTATTTAAGGTAATCATAAAACTGTCCCACTTAGGTCACTGAGGAGCAAAAAATGGTTATATATCATAAAGAATGGGGCCTCCTACACGACATGCTGTGTTGATTTCCGATGTGAAACTGTTTGTTACTTCAGCCGTAAATTCTTTGATCTGGATTGTGTCAGCTATATGAATTCTTTAGAGCTGATTGTCTTTTTATCCCACTCAGTTTATTACATAACAATAATG